TTTGGCATAGTGGCTGGCGCGCCGGACTGTCAAGCGAACCATCGCCCGGAGTTCGACCCCCGCCAGGTGCGCAACTTTCTTGCTTTCAACGGAATTTCATCGTTCTGACGCTCTTTAAAGGGATGGGAAGTCGATAATGACTAGATTCCATACAGAATCGGAAATTACTTCGACGTCTTAAAGGGCTGTGCAAGCCAATAACTTTCCTTTTTTCGATTAAATTAATCCCCAAACATACCGAAAGTTCAGATGCGCGAGGAATACGAACGACCAGATAACGCGACTTTCCTCGAGGGTCCAGCTCCACAAAGCATTGCTGGGAAAAATGGTGAGTGGTTTGCCAACCAAAAATCTTTTCCAGATCTCCGGTTAGAGGTAGTGGTTACGTAGCAAAATTCCAGGAACAAGCCGGAAAGTATGAGGAAGAGCGTGGACGACTCGAACGCGAAATCGTACAGCTGAGAATGCAGTTGACAAAAGACAGCGGCCTAGGTGGTATCAAAATCGGCTCGAGCTCCCGGCACAACCCAGAGGGAAAATCCGGATCGTTTCAAAAGTGAGAAATCGCTCCTTGCTTTGCCAGGCTTTCAGAAATATCGATAAAGGCCCCGTATAGCTTCAACTTTCTAGGTTATCTCGGAAAAGGACAAACGCATCCAAACGTTGGAACGAGAAATCATGGAATTCCAAAGGCGACTCCACGAAGAGCAGGAGAAGAAGACGTCGGCATTAGCAGCTGTTAGTGGCGGTCTCGAAACGAAAATCAAGCGGTTAGAAGATGAGAAAATTGATAGGGTAAGTAAAGACACAAAAATAACTTTAAAAATCTTAGGATCGCCGGATAGCCGAGTTGACGGAAGAGCGGGAGCGTTTGAACGAGATTATCGAGGATAGAGGGTACGTTAAAAAACTCGGGGAATCTCTAGATGGTCATAATAATTCTGCTGATTTTTTGGTGGGGATCTTGCTATCCAAATCTGTTTTTCTAGGGTCCGAAGCGGCGCGGCGGGACCTAAACCGAATGGAGGAGATGAGGCAGAAAATTGATGAACGACGGCGACGTGGTCGGAACGAGAATAATAATCGAGGCGAGATTAGCGCATCGTAAGTAACATTTTTTAGGATCTAATCGTAACCAAAATGTTTAGAATCCTCGTTGACCATTCCCAGGGTGGTTCCCCGTCACTTCGTACCCCGGTATATGAGGGTATCGGCTATGATTCTTCTTCTCTTCTTTCACAGGTAGTTTTTTATAAAAATTAAACTGGAAATGTTAATTCTTCCAGATTTCCAGCTCCAGCCACCTGTCGGGTTCTTCTAATCAATTCGTGTCTTCGTTTAATTCAAAGTAAGTAGCAGCTAGCTTGCCTGGGAAAAGAACGTAATGGTAGCTTGATTTCTAAATATACTTATCGAGTTTCATTTTTAAATGCGCGATTTGAAACCTTTTTAAAAACACCCTGCATACAGCCAACTTTCTTACCGTTATAGCGGCATACAGTGTTAATAAACCTTACTGTAAAGTGTTTTTACTCAGGGTTGGAATTTCGATTCGGGAGAATGAGAAAGTATCACCAAAACCAAGAAACCGTTATCGTTTTCGATTTTCTTGATCAACTTCAACTTCAAAATTGACTATAATTTGGCTAGACAAGCATCTTAACGCCAAAACAAGCTTTTTTTTGATAAAAAAGAGTTGTTATGCGAAAAGCAAACGAAGAGATGCAGGGCGGGTGTCGAACCGCCGCCCTGCGCGTGGCAAGTGAGCACTTTGCCAACGCACCATGGCGCCAACTGGGTAGCCGGCTGTTTGAGCGTACTTCAGGGGTTTTGGGAGACATGGAACCAGGGAGGGTTTAGTGGGTCAGAATCCGAATTTTTGGCTTTTGTAAGCTTAATTAGCACCAAAACTACTTTTTAAATAAAGTCCGCAGCAAATTTGGAAACGGATTCGGAATCAAAGAAAAATTCTGCACAAGATGCACTTGGTCCCGAACCAAAACCCTAACCTGAGTAAAAACACTTTACAGTAAGGTTTATTAACACTGTATTAACAAAACTTGAGAAATATACCGTAGCAGTATCTTGCTTGCTGAATTTAGCCTTTAAACTAACTAAGTTCTTACTAGATCAGAATCATACCAAAATCATACCTTCCAGACAATCCGCCAACCCCTATCAAATGCACAACCTCTCACACGAGGACACCATCCAAGCCGAAAGTGGCCCCGTGTGGAATGTTTAGAATTTTCCGTCCACAGTAAGGTTTTGTCCTAGTTTTCCAACTGGTTGTCATTTCTTGCCTACGCAATATTCTATATACAAACAAACTTACGCATAGGGCAACAGACGCAAAAAAAGTTCGCTAGTCTTTTCAACCCCCCCCCTTTTCTCCTGACCATATTTGTCATTTTTTTTGTTTTGCGCGACCGGGTGCTATCTATCACAATACGGTATCCACTTTTTCATATGTCCTTTCAGTTCTCTTGATTTTTATTGAATTTGTTTGATTCTCTGATGCCAGCGATGCCAAAAATTATTCTACTTTGAATGGTTCTAAAGTGCCGATATTTATGTATTTTGTTGTAAATAAATCTTAAAATTTTTTGAAAACTAGAAATTCAAATTTCACCCCCAGCAAGCGGTCCGATTTGGAAACATTGGTTGAGCCCCGGGGATTAGCGTCTTTTAGGGCGCTTCTTAGAGGCCGGCCCGCCCCGCTTTTAGTTTTTTCAGACGTCGCGTGCTCTTCGCGAGACACTTCACTATTGTTTTTTATGTCTCTAGTGCGTCTAAGGGTGGGGCTTTGACGTTTTTTTAAATCTGGCCATCTGGCGCTGCGCAAAGCTCGTAATATTTGCTTAAAGTAGTGTGTAGTGTATTATTTATAGTGATTTATAGTCAACCAGTGGAAAATGACCGCTTCGCGGCCCTTTTCCACTGGACCCCGTCTAGGAATCATGAATTCCCTTTCCTTTTCTTGAAGCCGGACGGTGCAAGAGCCTGACTCAAGGAACCATTCATTGGCCTGCGCCGCCAGAGCCAGCTTCGCGCTAGAAACTTTCGCCTGCGGCGCTAGCTACTGATTTTTCGCCCGGATTTAGCCTGCGGCGCGAAAGCGTAAGTCAAGGAGCTTTTCTTTGGCCTGCGGCGCCAGAGCCAGCATTCCGCTAGAATCTTTGAGTCTGCGGCGCTAGTTACTGGGTTTTCTCCAGGATTGGCCTGCGGCGCCAAGGCCTGGCTCAAATTTTTTCTTTGGCCTGAGGCGCTAGAGCGAGAGCCAGGCCTAAAACTCGCACACCGAGACCATAGAAATATGTTTTGTTGTTGAACTACCAAAAGCAAAAAGTTAAATTCGGCGTGGATTGCAACCCGGACCACGCGCTTGGTAGGCGGGCGCCTATCCACTACACTACGAGGGAGATGGCGATGGGCGGCGGGAAAGGCCTCTTCTGTCTTGGTGGCCGGGGATCCCGTGAAGGGGGACTTCTGGTAACTTTACAAAATTCTCTTTTTGAATCTAAATGCGCCGAAAATTTGTAAAAATAATAAGATGCGCTGATCCCCACTATCGAATACATAAGTGGGCCAAATTACAGACCAAAATTCCATCTGGGATTCGAGTTATTGCCCGGACACCACGGCTCTTGGCCCATTTTATTAAGGACCGTCTAGTAAACAGCTCATAAAATCTTTATTTTAAGGGATTAGGCAAAATCCAAAAAATAGTATCGGGAGAATTGCTTTTACCACTCACCCTCCAAAAATCAGAGCCCAGCCCCTCTTGGCGGCCGAGAAAACCTCCGGACATACCTTTTTTTTGGGCAAAAGGTTAAGGATTTTTCACTGTTTTTGTTGTAAAATCGTTGAATGAAGAAATTCCGCAAAACAAAAAAATGCATCACTGACAAATGTGTTTCTCCACCTCCATGCCAAAAATCAGCCGGAAATTCGGCCAGACGACCGAGAAATCTTCATTACAGAAAACAAACATACTTTTCTCGCTTATTGGATAGGATTGTAGGCCTTGATTTTTCCTTGCCATTGAGAAGAGCAGTTGTGCTTTTAAAATTCCAGCAGAGGGACGGGCACTGCTTTGAAAACTCGTCAGAAATTCCTGCTGTTTGCAAGAGCGGAAATCGAATGTGCTTTAAAGGGCAGCCTGGCGTTGAAAACAACAAAGTTACTCGTTTTTGTGTTGTTTGTGCTTGATTTTTTCAGCTATTAGATTTATATAAGATGAGATATATAAATGTGTCTGTACCTCTCTGAACCTGTATCATCTCTCAGAGTTTGTGCCTGTATACAGGTCATACAGATACAGCTTTTAAATTCGGAATTAAAGTTGACCAAAAATTGCTTTAAAGCGCACGTTCAGGGAGGGGCCGTATACTCGTCCCAACGACGTGTACACCCTATGGACGTAGGGACCGCGCGCATTGCCTGCCCGTGCTGTGACAGGCCATTCCCCTGCTTTGCGGCGTGGGGCGCCCTTCGCCCCCTCGCCAGGTTGTCGCTATGGCTGACTGGTATGCGTCCGCGCCTCCCGAACGGGGGAACCGGGTTCCACCCCCGGCCGCGGCAAAAATGTTTCCTTTCTTGTCCCTTTTGGATCTATTAGCTCCTAAGAATTGACTTACGGTATTTGCGTCGTTTGCTAGTCCTGAAGGCTCATTTTTCCTCATCCAAATCACTCTATTTCGAAAGCCGTCCCCTCTTCCGAGCAATTTGTTTAAATTTGTCGCCAAGCGGAGTGTGGCGCCGTGAGGGATGGCCGAGTTCGTGGAGGGCAGCGCCCGAATTTTACACTGAAAATGTGATGATCCAGCTGGCAGGCCACGGGAAATGGCTTGTTGTGTGCCCCGGGCATGTATTTATGGAGTGTGCCCCCGGGGGGCTTTTCGCCGTTGTTTTGATCGATTTACTGCGTGATTTAAGTGATTTGGCGCTCTAAAAACATTGAAAAAAATGCTGTAAATTCCTGAAAAGTTTTCTAAAAGCATTTTGCAGGGTAAGTAGGGCTTTTTTTGTGTGGGTTTTCTCATCAATGTTATAACTTTTTTACTTGTTCGATAGCAGGTTAATCGTATTTTCGTTTAATGGCAGCCAGTTTTTTTTTGGAAATTTTTTGTTGCTTGTTTTTTTTTTGCAAATCGAGTCCTTTCTTTTTAAAGGTTAATCACAAGAAGCCTAAGCCTGACCCCGAAGCCTAAGCGTCGCCAGCTTTACTAAGGTTCTTTTCAGCATAAAATCTCCGTTTTCTCTGCTTTCAATTTTCCTTTAACAGCATTTAAGCTCCATTGAACCCATTGTTCTTAAACCTTCATTCCATCAAGACAGACGACCTGGCCACCGACGTCTCAAAAAGTGCCCCATCTGTCACCACGGATTCGGGAGGAGGAGGAGAAGCTGGCCCCGAAATGGCGTCTGGTCCTCCAAAGAACCTCGGCCGCTCCATTTCTCGTTTTCCTCCCCCTTCTTTTTTGGACTTTCGGACCGAGCCGGCACCCATTTGGGTCGTGGATTTTGGTGGGTCCCCAGGGGGATTGATCCGGTACCTGAGAGGGTTTTGCTAAGGGAACATTTTGGGCTTTGGAGCAACACGCCCAATAGACTATAATTTTTAAGGAATTAATCCGAAATTAAATTGAAGTAATACAATATTAAACCAAATTCCTAGTTTTTTGTCATTTTTGAGGTTAAACAGGCTAAATTAAATTGAAACTTTTCTTTGAAACTTATTATGCAGATCTCTGTCCGTTCCATCTATTGCTTCGCCCTAAAATTGGACCCTCGGCCGTTCGTTTCCCCCTCTCGTCGCATCAAACTCGATTTTCGGGCCCTCGGCGGGCTATCGGCCTTCAAATAATGGGATGGGCCGCCCGATTCTGTTGCGTGTCGCCATGGAATTTGTTTCTTGTATTTTTTACTAGACCCTATGTGCTATATTTTGCAATTTTTGCCAAATTTTTGGAGGCCGGCTTACCCTTTTAGCATAATTGTCTAATTCATCTGGGGTGAATCCCCACTGAAAACAACATCTTTGCTAAATTTCGATCGAACTCCTGGTTTCTCTCTCTCTCTCTCTCTCTCTCTCTCTCTCTCTCTCTCTCTCTCTCTTTCCCAAGCTCTCTCCGTCTCTCTCGCCTCTCGCTCTTTCTCTCTCTCTCTCTCTCTCTCTCTCTCTCACTCGCGCTCTCTCTCTCTCCTAAGCTTCTTCAGCCGATCATTGAAGTTCTGAAGTCTCAACCCCCTGATTTTTTATGCAGATTGACCGCGTTGGGGTGGAAGGGCGGGTGGTCGATGTGCATCCGGCCCCACCGCGAGACCACGCCGGAAACAGGGGAATTCGGGTGAAAATCCGCAGCCCCTCCGGATGCGGCCACCAAAAGCCGCGAGACCTCGCAGGCATTATACTAAAGTTTCCGAGGGTTCCAGTCTTCAATTTAGATTTCTAATTTTCGAGACGCCTTTTGTACATTTTGATGGCCTTTAAAGTACCTTGAAAAGAAAGCGGAGACAAATTCAGAGGGGATGCCTAGTCGCTCAGAGTTCTTCGAGTACCTAACCTTCCTATTACCAAATCTTGTAGCAAACCCTCCATCCCTTAAATCTTGTTTGAAGCGACTCCCTTGCCAATTTTCTCGTTTTTTTTCTTGCTTTCAGGGCTACAGGAAAATGCCGAGTTTCTGGAACTTTGCACCAGATACCTTCAAGCCCCAATTTTTTGGTCCAACTTTTCCAAAAAGGACAGGCTAAATTGTTTACCATTATCCATCGCTAAACGCATTGAAAATGCATCCAATAACTTCCATATTCAAAAAATAATTTATATGCAGCGGAAGTGCACTAATAAGTAACCTCAAACCAAAAGGGGTTAGCGGGCTACGCCCGCTAACCCCGAAGGTACCTCCCAAAAGCTTGTGCGTGGCATTCGGCTGGATGCCTTTGCAAAAGCAAGAACCCCCTCCACCTCAACGCGGCCAAACACAGCCATTTCCGTCCGTCCCGTGGCACTTGTGGTTAGTGGTGGATGGACAAAAGGGGGAATTTCGGGGGTGCATTTTCGGGATTAGTCTGCTTGCCCAAAGGTCTACCAGAACACATCATTTGGTCGTTTTTGGGCTGACCTCTTTTCTGTTCTAGGCTAATTTTCATCTGAACCGGCTTGGTTTTTGGAACCGGAATTTTCGGCTTTCGATTTTCATTAGGTCGCTTTAACGCTTTTTATCCGATCTAGGTATTTTAAACATATAATTTAGAAGCCTACAATTTACTTACTCCTGCTACCTTACCTACCTTACACCCGGAAAGAACACCACTTCCGTGACATTCCCGTAAACCCCGGGGGGGGTTAACGGCGGAACGCATATTTTTTTGCCCGTTTCCGCCGCTAGGTGAACCGCTCCGAAATGCAATCGTAACCCCCCGGGGTAGACGGATACCGTTTTAAAAAGAGCCATTCCGGAACATGAATTTTTGCACGAAGTGGTTTACTGTATTTAATAGTTTAATAGGTGCTATCCATATTTTAAATCGAATCCCGTCAGGCCTAGATTTCGACTGGGTTTTCGAGCTGAAGCTGCTCCATGGATTTTGCCGCACCCTAGGCACGCGACGCGGGGGTTAGCGATCCATCACGCAATGGAAAAGCCGGTGAGCGCGTTGCAGTACTTTGCGTGCTCCATAGAAAACCCATAGCCATGCCTGGCCTGCTTCTATTTTTGGTTGAAACCTTCTTGTAAACCCAGGAATTTTGCCAAATTCACCTTTTACCACCAAACCACCCGACCACACACTTTCTGGACTTCAGAGCCCAATCTATCACCCATCCCAGCCTCGGTGGGTCTCTTAAATTCCCTCAAAAACCCGGGGCCACAACCTGCGTCAGGTGGCCCAAGTAGACCCAGTCAGAGTCGTCTTTGATCCCCGATTCTGTTCGACATACCACCCCCCAGGGGGGCCAATCACCATCTTTTTTCTGGAGGGTCTGGCTGGTCAATACGTCGATTGTCTGGTTTTGTTAAGTCGATCTAATTTGCCATTGATGCTTTTCTGAATTTCATGCAGTTAAGATAGAAAGAGAGCGAGAGAGAGAGCCAGCGAGAAAGTGAGCGTATGTGTTAGACACAGGCGGCAACGAGAGAGAGAATGCCGGAGAGAGCAAGCGAGAGAGCGAGAGAGCTAGTAAGTGTTATTGCCGATGTTCTAGTTTTCCAACAAAGTCCGGCTTTCTTGCACAACAACTCTTTATACCATCTTTTGCGTATTTTCTACATATCGTGTTTTCTTTTTTTTTTGTTCTACCAGAACCCAACTGTTAATTTGCTCACTCCCTATCTCCTCTTGCTCTCCCTTCCCCCCCTTGTAAGTTTTGGCTATCAGGTTTCTCAGGAAAGTTGCCAACTGTCGTTTGGGCCACCTAATGATGATATTGGGTTCCCACGAAGTGCGAAAAGAGGCGCATCTTTGCTCATTCTCCTTGTCGTTTCCAGCCGCACGTCTTTGTAATTAAAGGGGGAATTGAGGCGCGTGGGTTGGAAGCGGGTGGACACGCGTAATTTCCGGCAGATTTCGATGCTAAATTTTTGACGGGGCTGTTTTGGTTTGGCCATGAAATAATAAAGATTTTTCTCGCTCTTTACGTCGTTTTTCTTGATCTCTCTCTCTCTCTCTCTCTCTCTCTCTCTCTCTCTCTCCTTTCGTGAGATTCAAAACGTACGTGATGTTCTATATATTTTTTATGATTTACTTCCGCTTCTGCTTGTCTTTTTTTATTCTAAAAAAATGCCCTAAACTTCTACTTTAGCTCCCAGCCGGTTATAAGCGCCCAACCGGAATGCGCGCATTTTGATGTCGGCGCTCCCACAAAGGCAGGGAACGGCTGAATGAGTTAAGGTAAATCGGCCGAATAACCCGCTTTTTTGGGCTTGCACTATTTTTGTAGCTTTTGATGACCAACCCTTCCATTTCGTTATTTTTTAGCAACCACCATTAATGCGCCCAGGAGTGCCATGCCGCTAATGTATCATGCACTCCTTTTGGCTATCGGACTGTTTCGGATAGCGGAGGGGCTGGCGGGTAAGTATAGGGTTGAAAAATTTTGCGGAATGCCGACAGTTAAATCGACAATTCGAAATTCCGACAAGTCGAAATGCTCACAACGGGTCAAAATGTCAAAATGCCGACGATTTGGAATAACGAGGGCCAAAGCTATCTCACTAATCTGTCTGGAACTGCAATATGCTTTGCCGGCGTCGTTGTCGAGCTTTCATGTCGGCATCATTTGGACTTTTCGCTAGTACCGACGTTAGGAACTTACTGTCGACGCTATTCGTGTCGCAATTACTCCTAAAATCGACGTTTAGACAACGAAATCCCGGAACACTACCAGATTGTCGACCGGATTCTGAAGGGTTACAACCGGGATATGATCCCCAAATTCATGAATCGCAGCGTCGATGTGAAATTCTCGATGGAACTGTATCAGATTATTGAAGTGGTATAAAAATGTTGAACCGCTATAAATTATCAATACAATTTTTAGAACGAGCCACAACAATATTTAATGTTGAATTCATGGATTGTAGAGGTAGGCATACGATATATATTTTAAACCATTTTGAAACTGTTTAAAAAAACGCAGAAAAGGCTAATGCGTATTAAAAGCAGTTTCAGCTGATGAATTAACCCTTTAAATCCACTTTTTTAGCGCTGGGTCGACGGGATGCTTGGCTGGAATCCAGAAGACTTCGAGGGCACTTCAGAAATCGTGCTTCCACATTCAAAAATCTGGCTCCCGGATACTACGCTTTACAACTCGTACGTCACCTCGTACGGACATTCACTTATTGTTATAGCCTGGTAATGGACGAGGGTGAGACGCGACGTCTTCTGAATGCCAAATTGACCACGATTAACAACGGTACCGGGGCTTACGTTGAGATGCTTTATCCAACGATCTACAAATTGAGTTGCAACCTTGATGTTAGGTAGGGTAAAATTGTAAAATTTAATGAAAATGCGATACTTTAGATTCTTCCCATTTGACGTTCAAAAGTGTAGTTTGACTTTTGGAAGCTGGACGTTCGACAATACCTATATTGATTACCATCCGTATAGTGGAGCTATCGGAACGACGAATTGCATAGAAAATGAAGGATGGAATGTTTTACGAACTGAAGGTGCGTAATTCACGTGTTTTCGGTGCCATTAATGCGTAAATACCTACGCTAGAACTTCCGAAAAGTGGTTGCGCATCTTTAAAGACCGTGAGCACGGTTAAAATTTCCTTAAAAGCAAGAAATTGCGCACCCGGCGGGGGTCGAACCCGCGATGGTTTGCTCCACAGTCGGACGCGCTAGCCACTATACCACAGGGCCGAGTAGGGAATGGAGTCCGGGGTGCCCCAAACCCAAGAGGGCCTTTGCTCAGTACGGGGAGCTACTAAAGACCCCTCTCTCTGCGCGTTCTTGGGGTGCGCACCCTCGGGGTGACAGTGTGCGTTCCAGAGTTCTAGCAGTCTTTAAAACACCAATCCGACGCTTTCTTTTAGTCGAACGAAAGGAAAACAAATACGACTGCTGCCCAAATAACTATACCCTCCTTACCTTTGCCATCCACATCCAACGGAAACCGCTCTACTACGTTATTAATCTAATTCTACCCACTAGTATTATAACAATTATCTCGATAGTCGGATTCTTCAGGTGAGTTTGGTTACCATAGACGTAAAATTAGCGTTTCAGCTCGTCCTCCCCGCACGAAGTGCGGCAGGAGAAAATCACGCTCGGTATCACCACACTGCTCTCAATGTCGATTCTAATTCTGATGGTCTCGGATAAAATGCCTTCCACGTCTTCGTTCATTCCGCTAATCGGTGAGCTGGACTTTCTGGCTCTCTCTCTCTCTCTCTCTCTCTCTCTCTCTCTCTCTTTCTCCCTCTCTCTCTAAAAGCATATCTTTTCAGGGTGGTTCTATACGGCTATGATCAGTCTCATCTCGGTGGCTACCATTTTTGCCTCGCTAGTCATATGGATTCAAAAGAAGGTGAAGAAACGACCTTTGTATAAAAACGTAACTTACTTAGGGAATTGTTGGAACAGCTCCGCCGCCAAAATTAATGTGGTGGGCACGGTTGGTCGGCCGAAGAGTCTATTTGGAGTTGCCGCTCCTTATGAAGCAGGCTTATGCCAGGAAAGCGGCGGTAAGTTGCATTTTATTGAGCTTAAAAGCTTAAAGTTATCTTCAAAAAGCGGAAAATTTAACAACTATGAAAAATGCCTTCACAATGACGCTCGAAAGGCACAGTAACATTGCTCTTTAGGAAGAAAAAGCCCGGAATGCCGGCCGGAAGCCCAGCCTTTGGCAAAAGGTCTACAAGATGAGCCGGGTGGGTGCTTGCGATACCTTAAGAATTCTAAAGCTTGCCCTAATAACAGCACAAGCCTCATTTGCTTATGCTCGGGTAGAAGAACTTTTTCCAAGCTAGGATTAGATCCTGCATGCCTCAAAAATTTTGGATGGCTTTCGAAGTCGATTTGTTTAAAAAATTGTGGAAAAGCGTTACTGCTTACCTTACACGGGGCTGGCAGGGCAAGCTGTAGATTTGCTGTCAATGAATTCTTTCTGGCTTTTTCGATCTGATTTGGCAAATCTCCAAGAAAATCCATAGCGATGCCTTGCCCATCCCTTTAAAGGGGCTACGAAATGCCAAAAATTGAGTGACGGCCCGAAAATCGGAGCCCTGTACGTCGGAGGCCTCTGTACACCCAGGGGGCGGGAAGCTCGCAAAATTTGAAATTGTCTGTTGTCACCTCGAAATCACGTTCTCGGCTGTTTCTGGGCAAAATTTGATTATTAAAACACCAAAACTATTTAAAAATGAGTGCGGATTTCAAAAATGGGCTCAGAATGCACGAAATCTAGTGTTATCACAAAGAAACCGGGCAAAACAACTTCGCGCAAAAATCGAAAGAGTGAGGGTTCTCGTCCCGCAGCGGCCGCTGGCAATTTGCCAGAAATCAAAGAGCCCTCCCAGAAGGGCTTTGATTTGGCATTTCGGAGCCCCTTTAAAAGACCAGAGTATCATCCTAAATTGGCTTCAAAAGCTTCGTGAGCTTCATTCTTCAACCTAGCTTCCCAGATTTCAGACCAGTAATATTTTCTCGACCGCGCAAACACAGAAGGTAACATTTTAGCGAGGCTGTCCCGGCTTTTTCCCTCCGGCTTCCCGCTGTTTTTCGCCTCACTAAACTTTGTTCCGCCTACCCCTTAGCACTAATATTTTCTGCTTGGTTTTGCTTCTTCCCTCTGTCAGTTTCCCAATTTCACACTCCCTCTGTAGCAACGGTCGAGCTCGCTGCCCATCGTCGAGGTTTGAGACGATTTTCGAGTTTTTAATTTTCGATTTTTCACTTTCATCCCCTGTTTTCACACTAATTGCGCCGCACCATTAATTGGTTTAGATTGTAATGTATAGGGTTTAACGTCCAGCATTATCACTTTCAGGTGGTGAACGCTTTCGGGAACCAAAACGGCGCAGCGGCCAGGCCGATGAAGCCGAAAAGTTTTCCGAATTTGGCGAACGTCTCGGCAATTAAGGGCGCAAGTGAGCCACCTGTACAAAAGAAGAGCTTGGCGTTTTCGATTGATGATCGAGGTGAGCATAACAGTGTAACATATTTGAAGGAGTGATAAAACTAGAAGAAAGATAAGGGTAGAAGAGGGAGAGAGAGAGAGAGAGACAGAGAGAGAGAGAGAGAGAGAGAGAGAGAGAGAGAGCGAGAGAGAGAGACGCAGCGCGCTCAAGAGAAATAATCGATAAAAAAACTTTTTTCCTCTCCCACATCCTCCAGGAATTCTGATCAAGTTAGAAAGCAATTAAATGGGATTCCGGTAAAACGGCTATGTTTCTAGACTTTGACCCCGAGGATAGACCAAGTCCACCCAAAGGTAAGCCCACTGTACCGGCCGAACCCCCAGATCTTGATATTGTACTTGTAAATCTATGAATCTATCATATATACAATGCTCGGTTGGCTCTGGCCATGCACATGCACCAGTATTACACGAATCACTATCTTCTATATGACTTATTTTCAGATAACACCCCGATGATCGATGATGAAGAAGCGCCTGAAGACATTATACGAAAGTACAAGCCGGCCAAGCAGCTGCGGAGCTCTGCCAGCATCGCTTCCTATGATAATTTGTTCCGGAATTTTGAGCCCGGACCTGGTATGGGATCAGGTTGGTGATTGGGTCTTGGTGCATACGGTAGTTCCTACTTATTACATAATTGGATGACATTCGTCCTTCGCGCAGGCTTGGGCTTGGGCTTGTGCGCGCTTATGCTTAGGCTTAGGCTGCAGCTTGGGCTTTGGCGTGGGCCCGCTTTTAGGCTTGAGCTTGATCTTACGCATCGGCTTACGCCTAGGATCAAGCATGGGCTAAGAATAGGCTTTAACTTGAGCTTGGGCTTGGACTAGGAATGGGTTCAGGCTTGTGTCTTGGCTTAGGCTTAGGCATACGGGCTAGGCTTGACATTACAAATTAATCTTCAAAAATAAAAGTAACTAACAATATCAGAACATCAAACATCAAATTAAAAAGTTTTCAGCAGCCCCCACCAATACCGAACGTCGTAACCTCGCCCAACTCGAGTACGACTGGCTGGCCGCCGTCTTTGAGCGGATTTGCCTGCTCGTTTTCATTGTCCTGTTCCTTTTCATGTCGGTCGGCATTAACATGCTTGGCTGGTATTACTGGAAAAACGCCGAAGTTGTGCCGTTTTGATTTTTAAACATTTTTTACTTCCAGTACAAACTCCTTCGAATCTCCGCCTAGCGCCATACAGAACAATCCGGGTCTTGAATCGTTTTTTGTTGTTGCCAGTGTTCTCCATTTCGTGTCCTCCCATTGATGAGCTTAAAGTTTCACGTTGACTGTGAGTGAAAAATAAACGTTTATTATTGATAAAAATTCCATTTTGCGTATTTCATAGGAATGTTCAAAATGCAAATTAAAACTCGCAAATTAAGGTCGGGCATTCATAAAATTCGTCGTGAATTCCAAATTTTTCTTTGATGGAATTCATTAAATCGACTGCGAATTCAGAACGTCTGGTCAGCGTTTTCTAAAAACTGTTACTCTCGCGCTCTCTTTCTCCCTCTCTCTCTCTCTCTCTCTCTCTCTCTCTCTCTCTCTCTCTATCTCTTTTGATCTCTTTCGCTCTTTCTCCTTCTCTTTCCTCCTCTCTCTCTCTCGCTCTGTCTCTCTCTCTCGCTCTCTCTCTCTTCCTGACGCACACTTACCATACAAACCATCGTAAATAAGTTAACATGAATGAATCCAGCCTGCGTATCGAGTCGAAAGTTCGCAGGAGCCTGATCTGCCAAATAATCTACGGTTAACCAGAAATCAATTCTATTCTAAAAAACAGATTTAAACAAAAAATTCCAACTACCATACACTTCGTTGGTTGGTAATGAAAGGTACTATGCTTTCGTAAATGCAAGAAAGTCCCAGAAACAGTCTCATTAATGTTATAGCAATGGTAAGTATCTCTCTAAAGATGTCAGATTTTTTCGTAGTTGGAAATTAGACAAATCCCGCGAGTTTACGAAAAAAACGTTGATTCTTACCATCTCCGGATCCAGAGTTTTCAAAGCTTTGTACGGAATCGAGGTAGCAATATCATCATTTGCCGGTAAATACGTACAGTGATTAATGACAGGGACTAATTCAGAAAAAACCAAGCAAAGGAATATAAAAAACAATAAGGTTTCGACCATTTGGATGATAAATGGTTTTCGTGAAAGTTGGCGTTCGGGAAACCCGATCAGGTGTTTAGAGTGGGCATGCGAGTCATTTTAACAGCAAAAAAAACTGGATAACAAGACTGGATGTTGGGCCAGCATGGTATATAGCAATGACAGATAGTAATACAATTAAAAAAATATTTATATTTCGAAATATTTAGAAGCATCAGAATTTTTTATTTTTGCTCAAATGAATTTTCCGAATCGTTAGAAAAAAATTAGTATTAAGGAGAACCAGCAATAACTAATAGAGGAGCGAGAGAAGGAGGAGAACGAAGAGAAAGAGTGATAGCGAGAAAGAGAGACAGTGAGAGAGAGAGAGAGAGAGACAGGTAGAGAGAGCGAAAGAGAAATCGAGAGAGCGTGAGTTAAATATCAAGTGCGATACATTTTAAAGTTTCATGGTCTGTATGTTGGTTGCAAGTATGTTATTTGCCTTCAAAAAGCCTCCAAGCTTTGTGACTTTATTGTAACTTTTAACAGCGTTTCTGGCAGAAACAAGCCGCGTTTGTCTAGTCGTCGCCCCAGTCGCAATGCACGTCGTTCCATGTGCCATCGCTGATCATCTAAAACGCGTTCGATCAAAAAAAAATCCAGCACTTAAACCACCATAGCACACTTTCCTAAAAAGCTTAGCAAAGTGGTTTACGTCCAAATGCTGGTCGTGGTGGTCGGATGAGTCCATTTGCGTGCATATTTTCGAAACTCATATTTTCGAAACTCACATTTTCGAAAACTAATATTTACAGCATTGCATAGGCTTAGGTAGCCTAAGAAAACCTAAAAAAAATATGGGTTTCGAGAATATAAGTTTCGAAAATATGAGTTTTCGAAAATATCGGAAATCTGAGTGCCTACCGATGAGTCAGACCGATAAACGCCAACTTGGCACACCCCTTCTCCGGAGCATGTTGACTTGAAAACATTCAAGTACAAAATTTAGCAATCATAAAAATATGGAATCACGCAAAGGACCCTTATTAACGAAAACGCTAACTTTTGATGTTCGTATTCTACGAGGCAGTGCGGATGTTTGGCAATTGTAGGGACAAGTTTTTACATACCTTTTCACATTCCTGCAAAAGGTTTAAATGCCCCATCGAGAGAGAGAGAGAGAGAGAGAGAGAGAGAGAGAGAGAGAGCGGGTGAGAGATTGAGTTGGCACGTCAGCCCGAAGACCGGGAAGAAGAAATCGGGCAACAGCAGATGTAAGTAGAGCTCGAAAAGCCCAGAGCACATCTGGGTTTTATTCCTCTTTTTGTAAGATGCGAACAGTTCGGATACCTGGTGGAAGAATAGAAATTTTGAATATTGCTGCATATGGCGTGGCGACACAAACCAAATCAGCGCCGCCGTGCCGAACGTGATCGGCAGCCCGATGATTGCCATCGCCCCGAAGATCAGTTTATAGTTTGTGGCGTCCACGGATATCGCCATTTCAGTAAAATTTATGTTTAGAAAGGCATGGACAGACTGCGATTCATGGCGAGAGCCAAGGCGCCGGGGGTGTAAACAGGCCGGCGCGGACGCAGGCGACTTTTGGGGGCGACGCCTAATTGCAGAATGAGACGCGGGAAACCTAATTGATATTTTGGTTTGAGGTTATTGTCATTTTTTGGGCTGGCATTAGGTTGTACCAGGAGACGACGACGTTGGTAAGCCTGATGCAATTGTCGTTTGTCTGTTTCGGCTGCCGTGCATAAGACAAAGCAACGATTTTTTTGAATTCGCAACATGCACGTCTCGATATCACAATAGTATTCCCCTCCGTCGACAGTGTCCATGGCATAGGTGATATCCGTGTAGCTTGGGATCTTCTGAATAGTGGTGATGAAAGCGGGTGAGATCGCCGCTCCCCCCAACGGGGAAGGGATCTCGTATTTTCATAATATCGCATTGTTACAATTTTGCTATTTCATAATTTCCTTGGCCTAGCTGCATTTCCGGAGCTACCCTGTATGCCAGAAAAGCCAGGGACAATATCAGGTTGTAAAAATCGCTTAGATCGGCGCTTATAGCCTTAATTTTAACCCGGAAAAAATTCCTTAAGGTAAATAAGGCCTATTGAAGCATTTTCGCTTAATCTTTAAGGGGTTCAATTCCACGGAAACCCTATGAAAAATAGAAAGTAAAGTTTATTTTTTGATTATAACTCCAGAACTACTATAGCTACGGGGCTATAAGTCAAGATGGTGGTTATTTATGGTCTGATACACCTCTGGTCCAACCTTGGGACCGATTGGATGTAACACGGCGAAATGCCAGACGATTCGTTTTCTTGGGACCCACTGTATTTTAATTTTTAATAGCAGTTTGAAGCAAACAAGACCCCCTATTGCTAATTGAAAAAGCCATGCTGTGTGCTGCGGCTTGGTATTAATCAACGAAATCAATGATTTATTACTTCAGAAAATACATGTCTCGATATCACAGACATAGTATTCACCCTCCTTTACCGTATTCATAGCATGCGTGATTTCACTGTATCCTGGGATTTGCTAAAAGTTGGATAACCCTGGTACATAGAGAAATATTTTACCATGCAAGCCATCATCGAAGCGTTAATCCGTCCATCAGCGTCACAAGGGAAATTGATCGTCATTTTGTCAGGGACATCTTTTCGCCAAGGCTCGTGAGGGAATGTAATTAAGTCTTGCTCTTCATACTGTAAAGATAGAAATTGCCAAATGTTGTAAAAGAGGATTATTGGAGCCTAAGAATTATATCTATTACTGCAAAAATATCTTTTGATTTAATTTTATATAGAAAGTTATTGAAATGCTACAAAAAGTCAGTATAGTAAGGTAAGAAAAAGCCTTATAGGGCACTTTCAGGGACGTTTTTTGGAAAAAGCAAAGGTTTTCGCCGCGGCCGTGGATCGAACCCGGGCCCCCGCTCGGGAGGCGCGGATGGATACCCGTCAGCCACAGCTACAACCTCGCGAGGGGGCGAGGGGCGCCCCACGCCGCAAAGGAGGGGAATGGCCTGTCACAGCACAGGCAGGCCGTGCGCGCGGTCCCTACGTCCATAGGGTGTACACGTTGGGACGAGTACACGGCCACTCCCTGAACGTGCGCTTTAAACGAAGAAAATCAGTAGCTGAAAGGGTAAAAGATAGATATATTTATCCGGTTAGAGTTCAGTTTACTCCCCAGCCGGCACCCAATTTTTGTATCTCGGCTCCCTGTTCATCTCTAGGTGTGTAAAGTATACCGAAATGTTTGTCTTGTTCTGGCGAGTATTTTGGTAATTTTACGCACCTGTAGATGAACAGGCGCCGAGTTACGGTAAGTGGGAGTCGGCTGTGGGGCAAATGCACTTAAACCATTTATTCAAAACTACCGTGCAGTTACTAGGCGGTAGATGGAACCTCCGATAATTTCTTTTGCCATCTATCCACGAAGCCAGCAGCACTTTCAGGGTCCTATGTCTCCCTTCATGTAGTGTCAAGGTGTAGCAGTGAAAGACTGAACCCTGAATCGAAATTTTCTCGAGCCGGTTTGAGTATTCTGACCACGTCCAGCACTGGTATATTCTCTTTTGTGATATTCAACCGGTATATGGCCAGGCCCCTCATGATGGCCACAGTTTCGTATTAGCACGATTGAATTTGAAAAACCAGTAGGGATCACCGAATTCAAAAAAGAGAGGGATAAGGGTCTTCCACATAACGGGAAATGTTTTGTACTGTCGTGATCTCGGGCAGCCGTATTGTTTAGTTGCGGCGAACAGTTTTTGCCTATGGGCGTGTTTTTCGAGCGAGGAGGGCCCGACGAGACTGTCGGGGCCCGAATTCAGAGCTGCCCCTCAGATTTTATTTTTAGCTCAAGTGCTAAAATCAGCGAAGAGAATTAATCGTGAAAACAATCAAGATATTCAAAAGCTCAGCGGAATATGCTGGTTAAACCTGCTGATCACGTGTTTTTTGCGCCCAGCTCTTTGCTTCTCTGTTGTGAGAACGAGCCAAAGAATTCGCTTGAAGAATGTCTTTAAAATCGATGAGTTTTTATGCCAATATTCTTT